CCCTTAGAGATGTCTGGTTAAAGGTACAGATAACAGATCAACAACATGCGTGTGGGGTAAGGAGAAGACCAGGGGGTGGAGATGGTTCACTCCAACTCCCCAGAATGCTTTTGTGGCAACTTCATCCAGGATCTTGACTACTTATTCCCTTTCCTGGTTATTCCCTTTGGTCACCTTCTAGGGGCCCCTGGCAGGTGCCGGCCCCAGGATGGCTCGGTCATCTGTCACCAAGGCTATCGGCTGACACATCTGAAATGGAAGGGAGGATGGGATTGTGCTTGAAATCCCCTACCACTGTCTCTGAGGTACGTGAGTTCCACATTGCATCAAGGGACACAGCACTGTGAAAGAAGTGGCGGAAGACCACGGGGTCTGCCCCAACAACCTGCGGCCCCAATTTGCAGGGCTGTGAGAGCAGCTAGCACAAGTCCTTTGTCCTTTGACACCATCATCGAGTCAGAAGGGCTGTAGCCCCTTGGACAAGTTCTGGGTTCCACTCTTCCCCCCCCCCATCGCCCATACAGAGAAGGTTCATCTGCCTTTTAGTGTGACACCTTTGATAAGCAGACATCTGGCTGCCAAATTTGCCAACGTGCGGCCTGAGTCAGGTCGGTGCTGCAAACGGCACTTGTCATTAGTGGGCTGGCATGGAGTTGGTATCTCCCCCCCCCCCCGACTGGGGGAAGCCCACAGTTTGGGGGGCCAATCAGACGCTGTGCGACTCAGAAGAAGGGAAAACGCCGATGGTCCTTCGGAGGAGGAAAGCCTCCGCCACCAGGTGGGACCGCCTCAAGCTCCCCATTATGTCTGGAACTAGAATTAGAACTTATCACCCTGACTGTAAAGAGATGGACACTCCGTGTGAGCTGAGTTCTGGAGACTGGTGAGTCCAGGTGCTCGGACTCAGCCTGGATCAGGGTTGCCAACTCCAGCTTGAGAAAATCCTGGAGGTCTGGGGGGGTGGTACCTCTGGAGGGGGAATTTTGGGGAGGATTTCCCCTAGAATCTATGGCAGTGGTGGCGAACCTATGGCACAGGTGCCAGAGGTGGCACTCAGAGCCCTCTCTGTGGGCACACATGGCATCACCCCAGCCAGGCCCAGACCATCATTAAAGTGTCGAATTCTCTGCCAAATAATTTTAAGTAAATGTAAGCATTTGGGATTGCTTTCCTTACTTTGTTTGGATCATCTTAAGTCAATGTATGAGTGGTTTTTTCTAAAGTAAAACCTCAGTATTCAGGTTAAATTGCCGTGTTGGCACTTTGCGATAAATAAGTGAGTTTTGGGTCGCAGTTTGGGCACTCGGTCTCTAAAAGGTGACTGATCTATGGTATACCATAGAGTTCATCACTGATCTATGGTATACCATAGAGTTTGCTTTCTGAAGCTGCCATTTTCTTACCACAGAGTTTGCTCTCTGAAGCTGCCATTTTCTCCGGGGAAAGGATTCCTGTCATCTGGAGATCAGACGTAATTCCAGGAGAACCCACCCGGAGGCTGGCGACTAGGGGTGTGCAAAAAAAATAATAATTCGGCCCTATTCGGATTGGCCGAATCGGGCAGAATCAATTTCGGCCAGCATAAAGACTCCTGCATGTCAATTTCGGCAGTAGGAGCCGATTCAGGAGTCTTTCTGCCAGCCGAATGTCAGTTTCAGCCCCATTATATCCTATGGGCCATTGAAGTCAATGGCGAAAACATACTTTTTCCCCACCATAGAGAACAATGGAGGGGATAGGGGTAACCTGTTTGGGGGCCCGTAGAATTGTTCTTGAAACTTGGTTGGTATCTTGGGGAGAGGCTCCGGCAGCTACCCTGCGAGTTTGGAGCCTCTCCCACAAAACCCCTCCCCTCCAGCCCCCAGAATATAACCTATGTTTTCGCCATTGACTTCAATGGCCCATAGGATATAATGGGGCCGAATTGCCACCGAAATTCGGCGGCAATTTGGCGGCAAGCCGATTCAGATCAGAGAATCTGAATCGGCCTGCCGCAGCCAGAAAGGGGTCCGAATGGGTCATTTTCGGGGGTGCATTCGGTTCGGACGAACCAAATACACATCCCTACTGGCAACCCTAGCCTAAATGATGGTTGCCTGTTCCACATGCTCTGATTTTAATGAGTCTGTGTTAAAGAGCCCACCTCCCCTCCAAAGCAGCCATTTTCTCCAGGTGAACTGGTCTCTGTAGGCTGGAGATGAGTTGTCATTCTGGGGGATCTCCAGGCCCCGAAGACCTTACAGTTCATGGCTGCTGCAGTTCATGTAGGCCCTTAGCCAGGATTTTGTGGCTTGTGGGGCAATTTCCCCTCCCCCATTGCCATAATGAAGGGGAGTGGTGCACGCCCCTCTCCCCTCCCCTCCTGCAAGATTGAAGGGGCCCTACAGCTGATAAGCGGGGAGCCAGAGGGCCCGTCGATCAGCCAGAGGGCCCTTTGAATCTTGCAGGAGGGGAGGGAGAGGGGAGCACCACCCCCGCTCCTTCTCAAGAGCATTTAAAGGATGCCTTTAAAAGCTTTTGGGAAGGAGAGAGGCTTTAAGGAAGGGGGCTGGCCCTTTAAGGAAGGGGGCTGGCCCTTTAAGGAAGGAGCCCTCAATATCCCCACTGTAGCTACGGGCCAGAATTCATGGTCAGCAGCGCATTACAAGCCGAGTTCCTGAAACTGCCAGTTCACACATGCACAGATCCGCGAGGGTCAGACTGGGCTCCATCACAATGGGCTGAAATCGTCATGTGCTTGTTGCATGGAACACAAGAGGTCAAGCTTGGGTCATTGCCAGGCCACCGTGATCGCTGGAATGGACCAAGCCCCACGGAGTCGCATTTCCATTGGAATTAAAACCCATTAGAAGAGAGCCAGGCTATAAATAAGCAACTGGCTAATGAGTATCTCCTTGATGTCTCTTCAAGGAGGTGCCCATTTAATCAGCGCAAATACCTGCGCTCTGCCCAAAGCGCGTGACTGACACGTTCTCATCTGCTTTTGCAGCTTTTATGAGAGTTGATGGTAATCTCCGGAGAAACAATGTGATTTGTAATAAAAAGGTTACCTGTATTCAATAAAAATAATATCTACATAGGAAATGTTGTTAGTGCCGCAAATCCGGTTAAAGATATTACCATCCGGAAAAAATGTAATTTTTTTGCCACTGTCTAATGCGTTTTGGAGGAAGTAATATACTTAAAACGCAAGCCTGTATTATTTATAAAGAAAGCAATAACTGATTTGCTGAATTCCTTATATTAATAACTTTATTTGCATATGTTTATATCAGAATTAATGGGTTTTCCTTTCTCTCTGAATGCAAAAAAACCCTGCACAGAACGGGAGATAAGAAAACCCAGGACAACTTTACATACTGTTGGAAAGAGAAAGCAACAACTTGTACCTCTTCCTTGCGCTACTAGATGGCGGGAAGCGTGCTGATCCAGGAGAAGGATCCAGAATTCAGAACATCTCCCAGACAGGAGCCCAAAGAAGGGCATTCTGTTGCGTCTGAACGGGTGCAAAGCAGGCAGCCTGGAGGCAAAACTGGGGGGATCAAGGAGATTTAACCCCCAGCCTTGGACAAGCCCCCTCTCTCCATGGCGTCTGGTGTCGTGGTTAAGAGTGGCAGGCTGTAAACTGGAGGGCCGGGTTTGATTCCCCACTCCTCCTCCGCATGAAGCCTGCTGGGTAACCTTGGGCCAGTCACCGTTCCCTTGGAGCTGTTCTATCCGCCACAGTTCTCTCAGAGCTCTCTCAGCCCCACCTACCTCACAGGGTGCCTGTTGTGGGGAGGGGAAGGGAAAGGAGATTGTAAGCCGCTCTGAGACTCCTTAAGGTAGAGAAAAGCAGGTACAAAGACCAACTCTTCTCCTTCTCCTTCTTCTTCTCCTCTGAACACAGGATGTTCCCAGACTCAGCCGGGCCTTAACCGTCCTTTGCCCTACCCGATCTGCCTCCCACGATATCTAACCTGGTCTGTTTCTCATACTTCACTTCTGTTTTGTTCTGTCCATCTGAGCAGCCTTCCTGCCCAGGGTTGCCAGCCTCCAGGTGAGGCCTGGAGTTTTCCCAGAATGACGACAGATTCCCGGACTGCCGAGATCAGTTCCCCTGGACGAAAGGGCAACCTTGGAGGGTGGACTCTCTATGACCATCGTACCCTCCTGAGGCTCCTCCCCTCCCCCAAACCCCGCCCTCCCAGGCTCCACCATCTCCAGGCGTTTCCCAGCCCAAAATTGGTTTGGGGAGGGAAGGAATCTGAGCGGGGTAGAATGCCACAGAGTCCACCCTCCAAAGCAGCCATTTTCTCCAGGGGAGCTGACCTCTGCAGTCTGGGGATTACCTGTAATACTGGGAGATCGCCAGGCCCCACCTGGAGGTTGGCAACAAAAGTGACATACAAGGATAAAGTTAATGCAAAAAAAGGAGGGGGGAATCCTCCGTATAATTAAACCTCCAAAAATACTCAAAGACAGGAAATGTACTGATTACAAATTATTTACACAATCAGCAATAACAAACATACCAAACAACCTCAATGCAAACCTTGAAATTCATACGGACAGACTGTGCAAATGGGGAAAGATCCAAGTTCGCAGGTCACAGAGCACAGGATTCAGACGGAAACTGCAAATTCAAAAGTCCGCTCCGTACACCAGTGGTACTTCAGGTGAGTAGAACCCTCTGTTCCTGAAGACTTAAAAAGCTCTGTTCCTACAGCAGCCTTGCAAGTTTAGCTGCAGCCGACGGTGGGGGGGGGGACCGGTGTTGTGGCACCTCGTTTCACCGGAGCGTTATCCAAGATGGAACTGTGACAACTCAACAAGAGCCAGAATGACTGCAGAAGTACCCGTGAAGCGGTTGCGGTTTCATCTTGGACAGAGCTCTGGTGAAACGAGGTGCCGCCACCAGTGTTCCCTCTAAGCTGAGTTAGTGTGAGCCAGCTCACAGTTTCTTAGCCTCTGGCTCACACATTTTTGTCTTCGCTCAGGAAGGATGGGGCTCCAGAGCAAACTAATTTAGGCAGTAGCCAAATCGCCCGCTCACAACTTTAATGCCAGGAGCTCACAAAGTAGAATTCTTGCTCACAAGACTCCACAGCTTAGCGGGAGCACTGGCCGCCACAACACCCCCATCCCCCATGTCAGCTGGAGCTAAACCGGCAGACCTACCTGGAGGTTGGCAGCCCTCGGGGACGGAGACGCCTCCCTTTCCTCCCTGATCCACTTGCAGAGTCATCCATAAAGTCAACCTGGGATGGTTTGGGGGGGGGGGTCGGTCACATTCACCATAATGGCTGCCACCGACCCTGCATGTGAACGACCCGCTTACCTGCAAGGAGCAGTAGATCTGGGTGAAGGGCTCTACGCGCACCAGGTAGGAGGCCACGATGATGGCGGAGGAGTAGTGGGTGCAGTAGTGGCACTGGGCCGAGAGGCTGCCTGCGGAAGAGTAACGGCGGGCTCTTTGAGGGCACGGTGGAAGGTGTTCCATGATCACGGTGCACCCTCAAGTTGCAACAGACTCATGGCCACCCCAGGACCACAGGGCTTTGAAGGTAAGGCTCCTGCCTACCTGAGGGACCGCCTTTCCCCACATGTTCCCCCAAGAGCACTACGGTCGGGGGCCCAAAACTTGCTGGTCATCCCGGGCCCCAAGGACATCAAACGTGCTGTGACCCGGGCCAGGGCTTTTTCGGTGGCGGCTCCTACCTGGTGGAACGAGCTCCCGGGGGAGATCCGGGCCCTGCGGGACCTTATGCAGTTCCGCAGGGCCTGCAAGACGGAGCTCTTCCGCCAGGCCTTTGAGTAGGAGCCGCCGCCCCACTATACCACCACCATCATGGTATCTTAAAGGATGCACGGACGAGGCCCGGAGGAAGATCCTGGAATATGTAAAGAAGGTCTGATAAGCTGTCGCCATTCCTGGGAGCACCACCTGGAACTGTGTTGATTCCATCTCGGATTATGATATCAGTGACTGAGCACCGTTGTTGTTTTTAAGTGTTGGTTGTTTTTATTACGTTTTAGATGTTTATTTATGGCACGGCTGACTACCTTGCCCTTGTGAGCCGCCCTGAGCCCATTGGGGAGGGCAGGATACAAATGTGAAAATAAAATAAAAATAAAAAATAAAGTAAGAGAGGAGCAGCGGTGGTTGGGCTCGCCTGCCTCTGCATAGCCACCTTGGTCTTCCTTGGTGGTCTCCCATCCAACTACAACCGTGGCTGACCCTGCTGAGCTTCCAAAATCTGTGCCGTCGAGTAGCAACTGACTTGTACAGACCCCCTGAAGTTCCACCTCACGGGGTTCTCAAGGCAAGAGATGAGTAGAGGTGATCTCCCATCACCGTCCTCTGCATAGCAACCCCGGACTTCCCTGGTGGTCTCCCGTCCAAGGACTGAACCAGGGCTGACCCAGCTTAGCTTCCAAGGTCTGATGATATCGGGCCAGTCAGGACTATGCCTCACACCCCAGAAATTACCCTCAAGTTTACGGCAATCGAGTCTGCACTCAGAGACTGTAATACGGTTTTGCTAGCTACCAAGGGGGGCAGGGTGAACACACATCAAGAGTCAATTTGGTGGAGTGGTTAAGACTTCGGACTCTAATCTGGGAGAACCGGGTTTGGTCCCTCACTTCTCCACATGCAGCTGCTGGTGTGACCTGGGGTCAGCCACAAGTTCTCTCAGAGCTGTTCTCTCGAGCGCAATTCTCAGCCCCGCCTACCTCACAGGGTGTCTGTTGTGGGGTGGGAAAGGGAAAGGAGATTGTGAGCCGCTCTGAGACTTCTTCAGGTAAATCCAATCCCTTCTTCTTCTTCTAATATAGAATCAGATCTTTGGTACCTCAAGGTCATTATCCGTATGAGGAAAGGTTAAGGCGCTTAGGGCTCTTTAGCTTGGAGAAACGACGACTGAGGGGGTGACATGATTGAGGTTTATAAGATTATGCATGGGAAAGAGCAGGTAGAGAAAGAGGTACTTTTCTCCCTTTCTCACAATACAAGAACCCGTGGGCACTCCATGAAATTGCTGAGCGGTCGGGTTAGAACGGATAAAAGGAAGTACTTCTTCACCCAAAGAGGGATTAACACTTGGAATTCACTGCCACAGGAAGTGGTGGCAGCTACAAGCATGGACGGCTTCAAAAGGGAATTAGATAAGCATATGGAGCAGAGGTCCATCAGTGGCTATTAGCCACAAGGTATAGCTAGGGGCTCTGGGGCAAGTGATGCTCTGTCATCTTGGTGCTGGGGGGGGTCAACAGTGGGAGGGCTTCTAATGTCCGGGCCCCACTGGTGGACCTCCTGAGGGCACCTGGTATTTTTGGCCACTGTGTGATACAGAGTGTTGGACTGGATGGGCCTTTGGCCTGATCCAACATTGGCATCTCTTATGTTCTTATGTTCTTATGTCAACTCAGACTGGTGGCAGCTCTCTCTCCAGGGTCTCTGGCGGAGGTCTTTCGCATCACCTACTGCCTGGTTGTTTTTAACTAGAGATGCTGGGGATTGAACCTGGGACCTTCGGTGTGCAAGGCAGACTCTCTGCCACTGAGCCACAGCCTCTCACTTACTGGCACAGACACATCCAGCTGAAATGAAATGGAGATGACTCTAGCCAGGGAAGAACAATAAAGCCAAAGTCATACCCAGGTCACAGAGAATGCAAGGCCAAAGGGTACAGAGTAACAGGAAGAGGCAAAGAGTCTGCCAGGATGGGCAGAAGACCAGAGGTGGGAAAAAACCCGCCGTGGATACAAGAAGAGTGTCCACTTGGGATGAGGTATCCTGTGTGGCTCTTCTGAGCAGCCAGTATCCATTTTGGCACAGGACAACAGCCACGACCACATGCTGTTGAAGCGACCGGGGAACCAGCTCTGGATAGGGATGGGCACAAACCGGGAAAATGAAGGTTCATGGCTCTCACGAACCACAAACTTCCACGAACCTTCCCGGTTAATGAACTGGTTTGTGGCTCGTGAGGTTCATCCTCCTTCCTTTCTGCTGGTGGTGGCTCCCCGAGGCCAGCAAAATGGAAGGGGGGGGACATCTTGCAAAAGCCATTTAAATGGATTTTGCAAACAGGTGAAGTCCAAGCTAAGTTCAGCTAAATGGATGCAAGCCGTTTCAGCAACCCCTCTCGCTCCCCTCCCCGCTTCCCACCACGAAATTATGAGGAGGGTTACGGATAGGGATGGGCACGAACCTCTAGTTCACGAACCAGCAACGTCCGTCATGAAATTAGGCTTGTGCCCATCCCTAGTTCTGAATGCTTGTAATCTCAAGAATTAATCACCACGTCATTTAGGGTGAGTGCCAGGGTACTGACCCGGATGGCTCAGGCCAGCCCAATCTCATTGTACCTCCTAAGCTGAGCAGGGTTTGATCATATTTCGTAAGCTAAGCAGGGCCAGCCCTGGTTAGTATGTAGATGGGAGAACTCCAGGGAAGCACAACGTTGCTACGCAGAGGCAGGCCACCTCTGTTCATCTCTTGCCTTGAAAACCCTACAGGGTCACCATCGTTCGGCTGCGACTTGATGGCACTTTCCACCACCAAGTGGCAGAGGAAGAGGATTTACGGTTTATTGCAGATTTCTTTTATCCCTGCTCGGTTTGTTGCTCTTACAAAGGAATGTGTGTGCTTCTGTTATCTTATTAAACTTCTTTTCATTTTGAACTCACTCTGACTGGTCTCTGTGAACCATGAAACATGCGTTGATCATGTTTACCAAGAGAGAGGCAGCTGTGATGGCAGAGGAGGCCGTCAGACCGCTCGGGCAGACATTTCCCTTCGTGGTCTGTCGTGGTGGTGGAAGTTTACCCAGAGGGAGTGTGGAACCCAACCCAGGAGCAGAGGAAGGGGAGCCCAGCCACCACCCCCCATATGGAAAGCCTGAACACCAGGTTGTGACATCACAGTAATGGCAACGAGGGTAGTCATAACATTCCCTGTGTGGTTATGTGGGGCTAACCTGAGGGCTGCTGTTAAGTGTGAATCACACCCTGTGTAATGATTTCAGTTAATTGGTTGTGTACCTTTAAATGTTTTGTTGAATATAGCAGAGTTAGAGAGTTTGGAGTTAAGAGTGTGAGGAATGTTTTGTTGAATATAACAGAGTTAGAGAGTTTGGAGTTAAGAGTGTGAGGAGAATTTGGCAGTTTGACTTCAGTTGAAGGGGTGTTCGGTTGGAGAAAGACTTCAGTGAAAGGAGTCTAATGTTGGCAGTTGGTGTGAGAGCTGACAGAAAGTTAGGTTGTTGGCACTTCGTCATCCAAAAAAAGTGGAATAAACAGACAATCAGGGCATTCTGAACAGAGTAAAGAGAACTGCCTAAAACTTATATTGTGCTTCATAACCACGTGAATGAGAGAAATTTGTAGTGGAAAGAATAGCTAACCTGAGGGATGTTGTTAAGTGTGAATCACACCCTGTCTTAAGCGATCTTGAATCTCAGAATCCCAAAAGTAGTGAACTGTAGTGTACTGTGGTGAAATCTTATTGAAGCAGACTGCTAACTTTATACCACTCCATCACAATCATCAAGGGTTAGTAAAATTTTATCATGTTAATGTGCAGCATATCAACTGTTTTCTATAACTAGGAATGTATGATATATATTTTGGTAGGCAGACACAATTTTATGTATAGTTGTAAACTAAGCTTATGTGCAGTGCAAATAATTTTGGAAATCATGCTCTGAACTTCATAAATTGTGCAGTACCTTCTGAAGAGCACGTTGTCAGAGCCACAATTTGCACATGAGACTGCCCGTAGTTCATTTTGTAAAATTTTGGAAAG